AGCGGAGTCTGTTGGAATTTTGGAAGAAGGCTTTGCCTTCATCTGCAGACAACTATCTCCCTTTGAGAGACAGCTCTTAGCCTGCTTTTGGGCCTTAGTTGAAACTGAACGTTTGACAGTGGGCCACCATGTCACCATGTGACTGGAGTGCCTATCATGACCCCACAAGCCATATAGTAGGATGTTGTTCTAGTTTGATTCTCCATTGTTGTGACAAAACTCTGACTACTACCAACTTGGGGAGGAAAGCATTTATTTAGCTTACATCTCCTGGGTCACAGTTCATCACTCAGGGGGCCCAAGGTGGGAACTGAGTTCCTTTCCTCCTCAAATTCACAGAGATCTGCCTGCCTCTGCTTCCAGAGTGCTGGGATTAAAGGCGTGTGCCACCACACCAGCTAAAGTCATGTACTTACTGTAATATGTGTCTTGAAGTCCTGTTGTACTCTTCATGAAATTGGGTGCATAAGAGTTTGGCGCATACATGTTAATGATCATAATGTCTTCATGGTCAATTCTTCTCTTGATTAGAATGAAATGATCTTCTTTAGCTCTTCTGATTAGTTTCAATTTGCAATCTATTGTGTCAGATACTAGAATTGCAACACCTGCTTATTTCTTAGTGCCATTTTCTTGGAATATTTTTTTCCCATCCTTTCACCCTAAGATAGTGCCTAGCCTTTAAGGTGAGATGAATTTCTTGCAGACAACAAAAAGATGGATTTTGTTTTCCAATCCATTCAACTAGTCTGTGTCTTTTGACTGGGTAGTTGAGACTTGATATTTAAAATTATTATTGAAAGATGTTTATTGTTTGCTGTCATTTTAAGTTTTGTTTGTGTTCTTGGTCCTGTTTTGTGTTTCTGTAATTATACCTTTATTTGCTTTCTTTCTCTAGTCCTGCTATGAACTCTTCTGACTTTTATAGTTTGCAATGAAAAGTCAGGTATAATTTTGATGGGTTTTTTGTTATATGTAATTTGTTGTTTTTCCCTTGCAGCTTTCAGTATTCTCTCTTTTTTCTGAACATTTAGTGTTTTTAAAATGATATGTGTGGGAGAGTTTCTGTTCTGGTCATGTCTATTTGGTGTTCTGTGTGCTTCTTGTGCCTGTATGGGTATTGTAGGGAAATTTTTTTTCTGTGTTCATCAGGAAGATTGGGCTATAGTTGTGGATTTTTTTCCCCTTAAATTACATATGTATCCAGTTTTAGTGTCAGAATAATACTAATACTCACTTTGTGAAATGAAGCCAGTCTTCTTTCTCTCTCATTTGTGGAACAGTTTGAGAAGCATTGGTATTAAAGTTTTCATAAAATTTTGGAAGAATTAACAGTGAATTCATCTGGGCTTTGTGAGCAGGCTTTTAATTACTGCTTCAATCTCATTGTTATGGGTCTGTTTAAATTGTTTGTATATTCTAGATTTAATTTAGTAAGTCATATGGATCTATAAATTAATCCATTCTAGCTCCTTCAGTTTTTGGGAATGTAAATTTTCAAAGTATGTGCTAATGATCTGGATTTCATTGGAGTCTATTGTAACTTCTTTTTCATCTCTAATTTCATTAATTTGAGTCTCTTTTTTTTTTTTGTTTAGTTTGGCTAGGAGTTTGTCAATCTTGCTAGTCATTTCAATGAACCAGTACTTTGAATTTGTGTATTATTATTTTAGTTTCTATTTTATTATTTTCTCCCTAATCATTTTATTTCTTGTGACTTCTGCATTTGAGTTTGGCTTCTTTTTGTTTTTCTAGAATCATGAGTTACATCATTAGGTTACCTAATCAGGGATTTCTGTGTTTTTTTTTTTTAATTTTAATTTTTAATTTTTTGGTCTTTTTGAGACAGGGTTTCCCTGTATCCCCAGCTGGCCTGGAACTTACTATGTAGACCAAGCTGGCCTTGAACTCACAGACATCCACCTGCCTCTGCCTCCCAAGTGCTAGGATTAAAGGCATGCACTACCATGCTTGCCCAATCTCTGTGATTAAAAAAAAAATGTCAGCACATATAACTATAAACTTCCTTTCTAGGACTGCCTTGATTATATCTCACAGGTTGTGGTAGGTTGTGCTGTTGTTTTCATTTGATTTTAGAAATTTGAAAGTTTTTCTATTTCTCAAATTATCCACTATTCACTTAAAAGTTTATTATCCAGACTCTTAAGTGTTTGTGTAGTTTTTGAGGTTTCTCCTACTGCTGATTTCTATTTTTATTTCACTATATTCTAATACTATAGAAGGACTTAATTAAATTTTTTGTATTAAGTTGTACTTTATGGACTCTAATGTGATTAATTTTAGAGAAGGTTCTATGCACTGCTGAAAATAAAGTTATTTTCTCTATGTCTGGTGATTTATTCTGTAGATATCTATAAAATCCATTTGACATGTAATTTTGCTTTGATGTTTCTTTCCTGATTTTTAGTTTGGGAAATCTGCTTAAACTAAAACTGTTTTTTGCATTTATTATGTTTGGTGTGTGCATGTGTGTATGTTTGTGAGTATGCCTTCATGTGTGTATGTGGAGATCAGAGGACAACTTGTGGGTGTTGGTTCTGTCCATTCACCATATGAGCCTTTGGGTTTTAATTCAGGTCATCAGGCTTGGTGGCAAGGCAAGCATCTTTACCTGCTGAACAATCTTCCTGGCCCTGGGAGACCTGTTTATTAGTCTCCTATTATTATTATGTTGGGACATGTGACTTTTTATTCTTTTATGAACTTCAGAGCTTCAATAATGCATAAATATTTACAGTTGTTACATTTTCTTGATGGATTTAGTACTACACAGTAAGAAATTCCTCTTACTAGTTTTGGTTTGAAGTTTACTTTTTATTAGATATGAGAATTGTTGTACAAGTTTGTCATAGCTTTCATTTGCTTGTTGGTTGATTTCCTGCTTTTCTCATTATCTTTGCTTAGTCTGTATCTTAAAAAAAATTTTTTTTTTAAAGATAAAGTCTCACTGTGTAGCTTTGACTGGCCTAGAGCTTGCTATGTAGACCAGACTGGCTTTCAGCTCCCAGAAATCTGTTTCTGCCTCCTGAGTGCTTGGATTAAAGGCACCATGGTCTGCATCTTTTAACTGGTAACTTTAGCTCATTTGCATTTAAAATTGTTATTGAGAGGGGTTTGCTGTGATCCTGTGATTTTTGTTGGTTGTTCTGGTTGGTTGAATTGTTGATTGTTCTTTCCTTCCCTTGTAAGAAGGGTTTTGTGGTTTTCTCTGTTGGACATGACTGATTCCTTCCTTGCTCACTGTATTAGTCAGGGTTCGCCAAAGAAACAGAACCGGTAGAATATATATAT